GCACAACTGGGCATCTTAGTTTGTAGTACATTGCAAATTGGTAACAATAATCAAGATAACTGAATAAATAAATCTTTACCATACTCATAAATGTGGTATATACCTATAATTGGGAACCCAATTTGAAACACATAACTCAAATTAACAATAAGCTTCTGAAAAACAAACAAAATGTAAATGAAAACAGCACGCCTGATATCTCAACAGCCTCTATATTTTGACTGGTTTTTACTATCTCATGCTACCATCAAGCTTAATTACACTCAGGGACCAAATAAAGTTTTACCTGCTTACTGTCAGCAGGAAGGTAAACTATGTGGAGTTTTCTGTTTGATCTGATCCACAGCACTCAATTAAATAAGAGCAAATAGTGTGTGGACTTTACTGCTGGTGGTAATTTTTATCACACTCCATTTCTTAGTTCTCTAAATTATCTGCCTTGCATCAGATGCTAGAAAATATAGTGCAGCTCTTTATGATATAAATACCAATTTTACTCTAAGAAAAAAAAATGTAATACCTTTTCTTTCATATGATAACATTTCCCATGAAGCAAGTCAGCATTTAGCTAGCAGCGGCTGGGGCAACAGACACTTTCTGTGCTAGGGCTATGGTAACACAGGGTGAAGTGAAGACAGGAAAAGAGAGCCAATGAGAAGATAAAAGTAGAAGCAGTAGCAGCTAGTCCTGCTAAAAACTGTCTGGAGGTGGGGATTCCCAAAAATTCTGCCCAAATGATCTAACCCTTTCCAGGTTCCTATTAAAATCAGGTCTTCTGAATGTACTAATTATAGTAGTAGCCGTCTAGCTGCTTGCTTCTTAAATATGTACATGACTTAACTTCAAAAGGGTATACACAAGATGAGACTGGAATTGGGGTATGATAGGTCTCCGATAAATACTCAATAAATATCAGCCTTTGGATGCCTTTAACCAAGACATTAGTGGCCTTGGCCTTTGGTTTTCCTAGTCCTAACAAGTGAGTCAGTGTCTGTCCATCTGTCTGTCTCTCTCTCTCTTTGGCAATGATTATATATTCTTTACAGTCCTTTGATTCTCACTTCCATAAGTAATCTGGGCCTATGAACCAGCCCAAATCTCCTAATCTATGAGAAAACGACCACCACATGCTTTCTTTGTTACTTCTGTATGATACTCAGGAAGTCTTTCTACAATAAACCTCTCAATGAATGAGTCACTCACCAAGAGTCACAACCCAACTTTATTTTTAATCTTTCCAGTATTCATTGTTTTCTACCACATTAAAAAAAATTTCTGCCATATATTTATGAATTTTTACTATCTTCATTATAATGCAGATAACAATGAAAACCAGTAAAATGTTTTAATTCACTGTATTCCCCACAATGTAGACATTTTAATATTTGTGAAAACAAAATACTAGAAGTATATTATTCAGCATTTTGAAACTACTAGAAAAATAAAAGGTAAAATAAGCAATACTTACCCTTCAATGGGAAAAAGCACTGCCCCATTTTGGCTCTTTAGCCCTTTCTAAACTTATTTGAGGGCATACTGTATATATAGTTCTCCTTTGCATTTTCCTCCACTTAGTGATAACTGTTATCACATTGTACTGTTATGATTCTTCATAAGCAGCCTTTTAATGTTTGTATAACACCCTATCTTTCAATAGCACCATAATTTAACTGTTTCCCTGTTACTGGACATTTTAGTTATTGATAATACTTTTCTAAACAAGGTTATACTAAACACCTTTAAACACTAACTTTTAAAATACTTCCATAAGTTCTTTTTGATAGATCCGTGGAAGATGAAATACTAGATCACAGGATAGAAACATTATTGAAGCTTTTTATACATCTAACAGATGTACTATACTTTTCAGAAAGGGTATAACAACTGTATGCTTCTCATAACATTTAAAATTGTCTGCTCTACTGCACACTAACTGATACAGAGAATTAGAACATTTATTTATTGGTGGGGGGGTGAGCTCATGTTGGCCTATGTTGCCTAGGCTGGTCTCAAAATTATAGCAGTCCTCCTGCCTCAGCCTTCCACGTGCTGAGGTTATAGATGTGCTTCACCATGCCTGGCAAGAATTAGAACTTTTAGAAATCTATGTTACAAAGCTGAAAAAATGGTACCCTGCTATTGCCATTTCTTTGATTAATGGAAAGAGTGCACTTTTATATTCTACTCACCATTTAATTTTCTTTTCTATGGATAGTGTGTTAGCTTTCTGTCACTATCGTGAAATGCTGGAGATAATCGACTTATAAGGAGAAATTTTATCTTGGGTCACAGTTTTGGTGGTTTCTGCTCAATTAGATCCTACTTGGGACTTTGGCAAGGCTGCACAACAAAGCTGAGTGCACAGTGGAGCAAAACCACATACATCACCAGTCAGGAAGCAAAAAGAGAAAAAGGAAAGATCTTGAGTCTCCCAGCCCCTTACAGGGCACACTCCAGTGACACACGATCTCCTGCCTCTTAAAAGGTTTCACCATCTCCCAACACTGCTACCCTGGGGACTAAACCTTTAACATCTGGGCCTACAAGGCTGTCAGGATGCAAACTATTCCAGATAGTTTGTTCATAATCACTGGCCCACTATTCTGCTGCAGTGGTTTGTATTAGTTTCCTATGGCTGCATAATCAATCTCCATGATCTGAGTAGCTTCAAACAACATCAATTTATCACCTCACTGGTCCTCAAGGCCAGAAATCTGGGTGGGCTTGGCTAGATTCTCTGCTCAGTTCTCTCTCATGAGGCTGAAATCAAGGTCTGGGTGGGCTCTTATCTAGAAACTTTGGTGAAGAATCCTGTTCCAAACTCATTTGGGTTGTTGACAGAATCCAGTTCCCATGGCTTCTGGCTGAGATTCCCTTTCTATGCTGGTTGTCAGCTGGGAGCCATGCTCAGTAATTCCTCAAATTCCACAAGGCTGTGTGAGTTCCTTCTCAGCCATACCCTTCCATTTTTAAAACAGCAACATGCTAAATCTTCTCAGCCTTCAAATCTCTGATTTCCTTTCATGGGCACCTGTGATAATTAGCCCCCCTAGATAATGTCCCATTTCAAATTCAACTGTACCACAGTATAACATAATCCAGCGAGTGCTGTCTTAATTTATGTACAGGTTCTAGGGATTAGGGCAAACAATCCTAGTGGAGGGGCAGTTTTAGATTTGTGCCTGGCACAGTCTTAAGTATCATTTCTCATAATTTAGATAAATTTCAATTGCATGAATGAATAAATGTTATCTTCCTGATGACTGCTGGAAGCTGTATTTTCCCAATGGCAAAGTCAGTTGTAGACAAAATGCTGTGTACAAAGATTCTGAGTACATAACTTTGCTAACATTGCTGTTTTAATTTTTTAACTGGTGTAAAATACACATAATAAAGTTTATTGTCTTAATCATTTTAAAGGGGGCCATCCAGCTAAGTACTTTCAATTGGTGTGCAGCAAGTCCCCAGAATTCTCTTCACCTGCAAAACTGAAACTCTGTACCCATTAAACAACTCTTCCTCCCTCTTTCCTCGGTAATCACTATTCTACTTTTCAACACTGTTTTTTTTTTTTGTTTTGGTACCGGGGATCAAACTCAGGTCCTTGCGCTTGCGCAGCAGCCAGCGAAATCACTAAGCTAAATCCCCGGCCCCTACACTGGTATATTTTTGTTTGATGTATTTATTAACAAATATCTATATAGTCATTACAATACACTAGGCACTGTTCTAAGCACTTTGAAATATTAACTTTACAAATATTTAATCCTCATGAAAACCCTAAGGTCAGTATAGTTATTGTTCTCATTGTACAGATGGAGAAACATAACAAAGATAAGTGAACTGCCCAAGTATGTATGTATGTATGTATGTATGTATGTATTTATTTATTTATTTATGTACCAGGATAGAACTCAGGATCTTGCACCTGCAAGGCAGGTCTGGTGAGCACTGAGCTAAAATCCCCAGCCCCCAAGCAGGAATTTAGACTATGGAACTCTGGCTTTGTAGTTCTTGCTATGAAATATGACATCATGAAAAAATTCATTGAAAAGACAAACTCATCGGGCATTAAGATTATTTCTCAGTGCATGATTTTAAAACACTTCTCTCATGAAATTAACCAGTATTTGTCTTCTATCTAAAAGGTATGGAATCAAGATGACATACGTTTATTCACCTTTCAGAGACTGTAGCCATGTTTTTGTTAAGGAATTTCTTTCAAATAAATGAAAAAAACTAGTACTTTATGAGTGCACCAATTATAATTTGTGATATTTCATAATAAATAAATACAATCCACAATTCACTGATTACTGAAATTTAGAACAACAGCAACAAAATTAAAACCCAGGTGACTCTAACTCCTTCTAATAAGATTTGCAGGTGAAAAACCTTCCAAATAAAGTTTATAACAGCATGACTCAACCTCAGTTTTACCTGGTAAATTCAAATTTGTTTTACTTTGCAAGCTACGCATATTGGCCAGTCTTAATTTGTCATTCGACTGCATATCTCAGTAGTGATTTATCTTATTGAAGGGGTGGATCCGAGGTGTCCTTGATATTTTACTTTAGTAATCCTTTCACACAAAACCAACCTAGTCTGTCACCAGTCATGTGATGTCATCTGCCATACATTTAAAATGGGCAGAGCAGGCGGGACCACCGCGATTTCCAAGCGCTCCACTGAGCTTCGCTCCTGTGACCCTGGGGAGGGGACAACAACAGTGCATAGAGCAGGACCACCCTTTGCAGCCACCGTACTTTCTACTCTAAATTTACCTGATTCACTGAAACAAGCCAACGACGCATCTCGTAATCTCCCCCTCATTACCCATTGCAAGGCAGAGCAGTCTCCATAAAAAACAGTGCGTGTAAGAAACAGCACAATCACCACTACCTCAGGGCATCTCTCGGACATTCACAATGCTGTCACCCATCCCTGTCCCCTCCCCCCTCCCAGCCGGCCAGATAGCCCGGAAGCCGGCAGGTGCGCACCCGGTGGCCCGTCCCCGTCACCTGCGAGGCCTGCAGGCTCTCTGGAGACAGCGAGGCCGGCCGCCAGCCCGCCTCACTGCCACAGCGCGTCCGGGCGCCTCCGACCACCGGCCCGGCTCTGTTTACAAGCGCCGTCTCACGGTCCCACGCTTAAATGCTTCCCCGTGCGTCGCCCGGGAGCCAGACCCAGGCACACAAGGTTCCCGGCCGTGAGAAAGCTGCTCTCCCGCCAGAGACCTGGTGGCCAGGCCAGGCCTGAGCTACTCGCTTTGTGTTCTTAGACACAGTTTGTAGCACACACCTTGTGAAAGCAGTGGCGTGCGGTGCAGGGTCTCCTCGCTGCTGCTCCCCACGACGCGAAATGGGTGTTTGTAATTGCAGATCGTCCCTTGGAATAAACCAGTACCAAGTGGTTTTTGCCCTCTTGTCTAAGAGAATTACTCAGTGACATGGTCGTTCCTAAAGTAGCACTGGTGGGACCTGGAGATTGCTCCTCATTGTAAGTTTACAGCTACAATGTTAACTGAGCTTTCCTGTTGCATCCAACAGGGTGGAAGAGGGTGGCTTTACGGGGAGGTTGCAGATTCCCAGCAAAACAAAGTAATACGTGATATCCAGAAATAGGGTGCGGGGTGCTCTGAACCGATACCCCCACTTTACACATCCACTGACTTTGGCCACTTTGCAACTCCTAGCTTTGTCCTCCATCCTAGCATACTTAGCCATCTTCTTAATTCGTAAGTAACTATTCACTTATTGGGTTCTCCACTTGCAATGGAGAACTATACATCTATACATTTAGATGTATCTCATCTATACATTTCCTCAGGCAAGAACATTTTTATTTCACTCACCATCAGGTGGTGGGAACCTGTCTCAGCGCCCAATATGTATATGTTTGAATGAATGAAATGATGCAAAAAGAAAATGTCAGAGGGGTCAGAGAAAGCAACATCATGGAAATTGCAAAATCTGACTCCAAGCCCCTCTCTCAAAAAATAAGCAAAATCTTACAGAGGTTTTTTTTTTAATCTCTTTTGGTTGATGTTCAAAATAAACTTTTTTAAAAAACTGTAATTTCCAATACATTTTTTGTCATTACCTGAACTTGTAGTGTTCTCTTTTGTCTCAAGACTTTGTACATGTGGCTCCTTCTGATGAGATCTCTCATCCTTACCCCATCCCTGTAGTTTGGCTAACTTCTCTGTGCCCTTTAAGAAGCAGGCAGATGACATCACACCTTTCCTAGAAACCTCTAACTGGTGAGCCTGCTCCTAAAGGAACTCACATGTTCCTCTGCAAACACATTCACCACACAGCCTGCTTTCCTCTCTACACTCATCAGTCTTCTGGTTAGATGAGTGATTCTCAAAATTCAGCATGTAATAGAATCTTCTAGGGTGGTGTAATGTGTGGGGACCCTATTAAAATCCAGATTCTGAATCTGTAGGAGTTCTGCAGAATCTGCAGATTCTGAATCCATCAATCTCTCACCTTTAACGAACTCTCAGGAGATGCCACATTGTGAGTGTCAAAGTTCCTGAGTCATGTACCCACACCCTTTTATTCCAAAGGTCTACCTATGAAGTGGTCCTAGACTCTGTGATGATTTCAAAGTAGTTGTATTGGTGTTTGGTTCTGTTATTTATAACTAAAGTGTCTTGATCACCATTCCTGAATTTTTCCTCACATACTCCTTTTTTCCCACTTTATAGTGCAGATAAACATTTTTTTCTTTTAACTCCTGGATACTCCTCATTTCTATGATCCTATTTAGGATCCCCCTATTGTATTAGTTTCAGTATAATTGATAAAGTGTTTCTCGTATTATACTATCTTCTGTCTCCTGAAAGATAGGCATATTGTCATATTCATGTTTCTATTTTCCACAACACTTATATTACCTATTAAATGATCTCAATAAATGTTTGTTGAAATACCAAATGACAGGTGAAGAAATGTCATTATTAAATCCCTTCATTAGATTTTTTTTCTTTTAGCCTTTATTTACTAAAATAATGCTTATGCTAGAATTCAACAAAGCAATGCCATCTTCCAGGAAATTAAACAAAAGTCTCATTAAAAATATTTGAAACATAATCAGAAACATTTTGTTGTCATTTATAGCTTAAAATTTGCAAACTAAATACATCCCACCCATCTTCCAAAGTATGCCCACATAAAGATGATTAGGATATTCATTAAGAGCAATATAACATAATTAGTTTGTCTCCATAGGTAAATTAAAACCACTTGAGATGTAAGATATTACAATCACAAATGGAGTCACTCACTGAAAGTATAAATGATCCTGCTGTTCAACTAGTAGACAACCACAAGGCCATGCACATTGTTAAAATATTAAACATTTCCTACAGGTTGATAACTATCTTCTTTTCCTAAACTTTCTAGGTGTCCTAAGTTTCTTTCTGAAGAACTTCATATATCCTGAGATCCAACATCCAAAAGATTAATACCTTTATCTCTTTTGCTGGGATGATGGATATCTCTAAGACCTTACTCTCTCACCACTGCCAGGATTCTTTGTGATTGGTTGATAGCCAGGCCATACCTGACTATTACTCCTACAAATAAATTGTTATGGCTTGTGTCTAGATGTCCTCTCAAAGCCTCATGCAGATGGGACTTTTTCAGGGGTGGTTAGATCTAGAGGGTGTGACACTGGGATTAATTCAAGGTACAATGTTAGGCTCAAGGGCACTAGGATCAAGGGTATGAATGCTACCCATCCTAAGTAGCTGGATAAGATATAAGGGATAGAAAGAACTGTGATTGTCCCCTGTTGCTTTGCTATCTTCTGCCCACTATGAACTGTTTTTCCTCTTCGAGGTCCCCCTGCCTTGGAGCCAGCCAATTATGGACTGAAATCTCTATAAACTGTGAGCTAAATAAACCTTTCCTCCCTTAACTTGTGGGTATTGGGTATTTTTGTCTCAGTAATGAGAGAAAAATAACTAAGACAGAATTTGGTCACGAGAGTGGGATCATTGCTGTGACTGTACTTGACCATGTGACTCAAGAGCCTTTGGAACTGGCTTGTGGGAAGGGGAAGAGTTAGGAAAGGTTTGGAGATGCTTCCTGAAAAAGTAGAGTTGGAATGCCTGATGGGAAATTCTGGTCAGGGCTCAGAAGACCAGAATGCTGATAGAAAGGCTGCTGGTAAAGATCAGGCTCAGGAGGTTTCTGCTGGGAAGAAGGACTGGATTGGCTGTTGGATTCCAGATGATGTGTGTTGACGTGTGTTATGTCTTGGCAGAAAGTTTGTCTGCATTTTGCTCATGTCCAGAGATTTTGCCTGAGACTGAGATTAAGGGCAGCAAATTAATTAATCTGGCAGAAGAAATTTCAAGGCAGTCTAATGCTGAGGTGGTGGCATGGCTACGGTTGGGTCTTTTAGCCAGATTTGTGTTGAGAATGAAGACCAAAGAGGCCAGCAGAATGATATAAAACATTTTGAGTTTGGCCAGAAAGTAAACTTCAGAAAAGTGGTGGACAGCAAAGGTAGAGCAGAGGAGATCTTGATTGGTGAGCAGAAACAGGAGAATAGAAAAGGTGGCCTGAGGACATCATAAGAACCAACAGGACTCCAGCTTCTGCAGCCTCAGAGTTGCAAAGGTGAAAGACTTTGCTCTGAGAAGGGAGCCCCAGAGCACCATGTTCCATTATGGCAGCATTACAGGAAAGGTAGAAAAATGAGACTTTGAGAAGAAGCTGAGCTTTGAGTCTGATCAGTGCTGCTCTGGGCAGCAAAGCCAAAGACCCCTAGCTTGCAGCACCTTTTATTCAGTACACGGGGAGAAACAAATGTAACAAATGAAATTCAGAGTTCAGTACTTCACACTGGGATAAACAAGGTGTAACAAAAGACTGGGGGGCAGTGGAAATCTAAGAACAGTGAGGAACTATGCAGATGAAGACTTGGTTCCTCCCAGGAACTATGCAGATGAAGATTTGGTTCCTCCCAGGGTGTCTCCTGCAGGTGTGGTCTTGCCCTTGAGCATCACAGCATCAGTTGTGACCTGAGGCCAAAATGGAATTATGTCTCCGAATGCCATAGTTGGCCTGTAGGCGGAAGAACTTGGCCTAATTAAATGGGTTTTCCCTAAAATTATGTAACATTGCTCCCAACACACTACCACCTACCAGAATATAAAAAATGAAGGATAAGGGCTGGGGATTTAGCTCAGTAGTTTCACTGCCTGCTTTGAAACCGCAAGGACCTGAGTTTGATCCCCGGTACCAAAAAAAAAAAAAAAAAAAAAATGAAGGATAGACTCAACTTCAGGGGAGAAGGCAAAGTGGTGAGTAGCAGAGAAAGAGCCTCTCTGAGATTTGGTGTCCAGACACTGGAATATAGCAATGTGAGGAAGAGATGAAAGAGGGAAGAGGGTCCTGGCACCCAAGAAGGATCTGAAGTGAGAATTGAAGACCACAAGGAGAGCAGAGAGAAAAACTTCAACAAAGAAGAAGGAAATGGCAGGTGACACTTTCTCCTTGAGCCCAGACTCACATTGTTGGAGGGGTAGCTCGAACTTGCAGATGCAAAGTGACTACTGGTGGCCCCAGAGGCCTCCAGAGAGAAATGTACTGGTGGAATGGAGCAGTGGATGCAGTGGACTGCAGTGACTGATCAGTGCCAAAGAACCAGGGGCTAGACCAAGTAGAAAGCAACTTCTCATCCCTAATAAATTGAAGAGGTGGGATCTTGCAACAGACTCAAAACCCAAAAGCCAGCTACACCAGGAAGACATCTCTGAGAAGTGGTCATTTTCTAAAGGTTCTAAATACTAGCAATAAAGCTGCTCACTGTAAGCAATTTACAAGCATCAACCCAGGAATAAAACTAAAACAAAAAAAATAGAAAAATGAAAAGACACTTAAACAAGATGCAGCCCAGACTTCCAGCTCACCAAAGGCAAACCCGGGGGTAATGACATGGAACAAGCCAAAAGCTACCCACTTGGACTCTCTGAAGTAGTAACAGTGTAAGAAACAAAGCAGATGAATGAGGCTCTAGAAAAAATCAAATCAGAAATAATTTCTCAGATAACTGCTGAGATGGTGACAATAATGAGAGACATGCTTAGTGACTCTAGAGCAGATACAGATAAAAA